AGCACCAGTAGCACCTCCAACTCCCGGGTCCGCAGCACCAGCAGCAGCTCCAACGCCAGGGTCCGCAGCACCAGCCGCAGCCCCAACGCCCGGGTCCTCAGCACCAGCAGCACCTCCAACTCTCGGGTCCGCAGCACCAGCAGCAGCTCCAACGCCAGAGTCCGCAGCACCAGTAGCAGCTCCATTGCCGGGTCCGTAGCACCAGCAGCAGCCGGGTCCGCGAGACGAGGCGCACCACTCCGAAGTGTGCAACGGCGCTCCCACCACTCACGGATCCGCTCACGAGAGGGGAGCTCCCGACTAGGAGGAGAAGTACCAGCGCCAGTACCTGTAGTGCGCCTGGTCCCAGAGGTACCTCTCCGGAGGCTGCAGTACTGTAAGTACCACTCACGCAACTGCTCCGAGGAGAGGTCTCGTCCAGGTGTAGTACCCTCAGGCCCAGCACCGCCAGAGTCAGAACTCCTAGACCCAACACCCCCACGCTCAGCACCCCTAGTCACCGCACCCCCAGGCTCAGCACCCCCAGTCACCGCACCCCCAGGCTCAGCACCCCCAGGCTCAGTACCCCCAGTGTCCTCACCTCCAGGCTCAGCACCCTCAGAGTCCGCACCCCCAGGCCCAGCACCCCCAGAGTCCGCACCCCGAGGCTCAGCACCCCCAGTAGGACGAGAGTCGACAGCAACCTCAACAGGCTTGACCGGGTCTACCTGAGACACACCTGAGGGAGCGGCACCCTGAGGGGGGAGGGGGTCTACGACAGCAGCACCTGGCGCGAGGAAGAGAGGCGGGGGTGGGAGCGGGGCCGTGCGGTAGGGGAAGAGGCGGTAGTAGGGGACAGACTCGTCAAAAGTGACGTCCTGAGAGGGCAAGACCCGGCGCGAGGTGGCGTGGTAAAACTGCCAACCAGGCGCGTCCGGAACAAAGCCGAGGAAGACGCAGGGAACAGCACGAGAGGAGAGCTTGTCCGCAGACGAATCGCGGACAAAAGCTTGAGATCCCCAGACCCGGAAACGCGACGCATCGCCAACCTCCCCCGTCCACAGCAGTGTGGGCGAGGTCTCCGGCAAGGAGACACGGGGCCAAAGGTTGAGCTGATGCGCAGCGTACCGGACCGCAAACGGCCACAGAAAGTGGGGGGCAGCCGCATGGATCAAGGAGGTACGAGCGACCTCCATGACCAGGCCAATGCGGCGCTACGCAACCCCATCTGCTGTGGAGAGGCCGGAAGCGTGAACGACTGCTCAATGCCGTGCTCAGCACAGTAGGCTGCCAAGAGGTCGGAGGAGAACTCACCACCTCTGTAAGAGTGCAAGCGCAGGACAGGAAAGTCCGAGCGGAAACGCTCGCTGAGCTGGAGACGAGCTCTGCGGATCCAAGGGATCAAAACATCAGGGACCTCACCCTTGGTGCGCAAGGGGAAGACCGTGGTGTAGCGCGAGTAGTCGTCAACAACGATCAGGAAGTACCTCTCCTGACCCTGACCACGGACGCGGGCTGGGCCCCACACGTCCATGTGGAGCGTCTGCAAAGGAGCAGTCGTCGGGGGAAACGAGGAGGAGTGAGGAGCGGCGCGCTGCCGCCCCTCGACACAGGGAAGACAGGGAGGAGCACGCGAGGGTGGGAGGGGAGGGAGGACCCTGGGAAGACCAGAGACAAGGTACCGGGAGTGCATGGCTCGAAGGCGCTGCACAGACGGGTGGCCGAGACGGTGGTGCCAGAGGACAGTCTCGTGCGCTAGAGAGCGACACGAGCAGGGGGCGGACAGCTGACCTGACGCGGACGCAGACGCAGACGCAGCGACCTGAGGGGGGGCAGTAGTCAGTGTGTACAGGTCCGACCCCGGCTACCGGGTGAAGGTGGCCAAGTGGCGGCCTGTACGGGCACACGTGCAGTGTGTGATACGCTCGTAGGCAGGGGTGAACTGGTGAACACCCGCGTCCTGTAGTGCACAACCTGCCACCAAGTTCGTAGAGAACGAGGGGAGGTGGAGACCTGACAGTGTGCCCGACGGGACCGCAGGACAGGGAAGGACAGTGGAGGAGGTCGCAAGGACCGGACCCCCAGAGGGGTCAGCGAGGGAGACAGCAACTGGCCGAGCAAGAGGCTCAAGGGCAGTGCGGTCACGAAAGAAACAGCGAGAGGCACCTGAATCCAGTGTGAAGGTGTGCAGTGCTGCAGTCGACACAGTACTAGGGGGGGCAGACGTAGACGCACCTAGAGCAGCAGCCTCACCAGCACCTGGGGTAGCGGACACGCGAGTACCTGGAGCGGCAGACGCACTAGTCCTAATGCCCGGATCGGGCGGGACACTCAGGTACTCAGCACCCTCTCCACTAGTAGACATCACATACATGGCAGTGAGAATAGCATCAAAGTCTAGAGCATAAATATCAATCCCCTTCTTCAGGAGATCAACCCAGCGGGGCAGCTCAGTGGCCTGAGGGAACTGAACACGCCAAGCGTCGTTCAGACGAGCGAAGCAACGCTGTATGGCGTGCGGTCCCCCACACGGCTGGCCAGTGCGGTCACCAGTGCGAATGACGTACGTGCAGCTAAGGCCACCCCCCCCCCCCCCCCCCGTGCTGAGAGGACCACTCGCGGACCTCCTGGGGCGACGGAGTGTGCTGCTGGCCCTGGCCACCGCCAGTGCCTCCACGACCACCACCGCCGCTACCACCTCCTCGACCACCCCAACCCCGGCCGCTGCCTCGTCCACCGCCACCCCCACCACCTCCTCCGCCCCGGCCACCTCCCCCGCCGCTGCCGCCACCCCCCCCACTGCTGCAACCTCCCCCACCCGCGCCACCCCCCCCGCCACCACCACCTCCCCCACCACCGCCACCCCCGCTGTCACCACCACCGCCCTTGCCCCCCTTGCCCTTGCCGCTGCGGCGCCCACTCGAAGCAGACGCAGTCCCGACCTTCTCAGCACCAAGGAGGTCGACAGCAGCAGCAGAGGCGACAGAGGGAAGAAGGGGGGAGGGAGAACACCCCTCAAAGAACGGGGTACGGGGGTCACCGCGAGAGGCACCTACAGCGACTATGCTAGCCTCAGCTGCAAGGAGTTCCTTCTCGAGGAGGGCAATGGTGAGCTCGGTGGGGCAGCGAGCTAGGAAGTGGTCCCTGACTGAGCGCAGAGTGTCAGGGAGGCGCGTGACTAGGTGGTAGAGAGTGAGCCAGAGCGGGGGTGGGTTCTTGGCAAGGAACTCATCAGGCATAGCGGCGTGGAAGCGAGCCTCACTAGTGCGGAGGTGGGTAATGAGATCAGCGACAGTGTGGAAGGAAGCTAAGTCAGGGAACAGGTAGGGAAGAGAGAGATGGCCTAGAGCAGCAGAGGCCGGTGAGGAGTAGCGGGCAACGACAGCAGTGTACAGTGCCTGTGCAGTCTTGTGCTGCCCAAAGTGCTTGCGCTCATCTATCGGCAGAGAGTTGCGAATAGCAAAGCGAGCATGGGCGTCACGAGTCTGCCACTGTGAGCGGGCAGTGCTGTCAGCAGTAGCAGCAGGAGCATTAGCGTGGCCTAAGGCGTGATCGTACAGCGAGATGTCTTCCTTGGCAGTGAGCTGTAGGAAGAGGTGTAGGTCATCAAGCCAGGTGTCGAACTTCACTGGGCGGCCCTCAGCATCGAAGGCTAGCACAGGAGGGCTAGCCATGGTAGCAGCAGTAGGAAAAACAGTAGGATAGGTAGGGCGGCGCGGCTCGGTACAGGTAGGGCGGCGCGGCTCAGTACAGGTAGGGCGGCGCGGCTCGGGTCGGGCGGCGCGGCTCGGTTCGGGCGGCTCGGGTCGGGCGGCGCGGCTTGGTTCGGGCGGCTCGGGTCGGGCGGCTCGGTTCGGTTAGGGCTGGCGGCTCGGGTCGGGTGGCTCGGTTCCGTTAGGGCTGGGCGGCTCGGTTCGGCTCGGTTCGGGCTGCTCGGTTCGGGCGGCTCGTTCTGGGTGGGGCCGTTCGGGGCCGCTAAGGGCGAGCGCGGGGAGCGGGTGGGGCCGTGAGGGACGAGCGCGGGGCCGACGTGGGCGCTAAGGGCGAGCGCGGGGCCTATCAGGGCCGTGAGGGACGAGCGCGGGGCCGATCGGGGCCGTAAGGGACGAGCGCGGGGCCGACGTGGGCCTCTAAGGGCGAGCGCGGGGCCTATCGGGGCCGTGAGGGACGAGCGCGGGGCCGATCGGGGCCGGAAGGGACGAGCGCGGGGCCAACGCGGGCCTCTAGGGGTAAGCGCGGGGCCGATTTGGGGCCGTTAAGGATGAGCGCGGGGCCGACGCGGGCCTCTAGGGGTAAGCGCGGGGCCGATTTGGGGCCTCTAAAAGCGAGCGCGGGGCCGACCTAGGTCTCTAGGTGCGAGAGCGCGGGGCCGACGGGGCCTCTAGGGGCGTGAAAGCCGAGGCGCCCTAGGGCGTAGGTAGGTAGGTAGGTAGTGGTGGGCCCTAAAAAAATCGGTCCTAGGAAGGACCTGCTCTATACCATGTTGAACAAGAATGAATGAACTAACAGTGAAATGAGTACAAGTATAAAAACCTAGAAATGTGTACCCCCTATAGGCTAACCCACTGTAGCCTAAACAACTACAACAACATATATAATGTTTGACAGTATACAGCATCTAACTTCCCTTTTGATCCATACAAGTGGCTTGTTGAACAACTAGAGGTCGAGTTCACTAGAGGCGGCGTATATAGTTGTAGGCACATGGGAGAGGTCATCCGAGACATGAAAGTCTGACTCAATGCTTTGGACATCGAAGTTGGAGCGGTATGTTTCATTTATTATGCTTGCTTAAGCTAATCACTGCTTTAAAGGTTACTGTGCGCTAACACGTGACGTGTTTCTATTGTGGTATACTGTAGATCAACAAGGTGCAGGGGTGGTATGAGGTGGGATCGGGCCTACAAGTGACTCACCTGTTTAGCAAGCTGTCGGACAAATGGGGGGACCTTTTGGCGCTGCAGAACGAAGACAAGATGATCAATTTGGGCATAGGTAAAAAAAAGGACGAGGTCAGATATATGCTCGTGAGTGGATGCCGTGCTTTTTTCAACCAGTTTGAGGACGATGCTCCTACTGTAGGGAATGAGGCGACTGACGAGGTGGAGACGATGGAGGAAATGGTCGAAGATGCAGAGGCGAACAAAGACGGGAGAGTTAGGAGGATCGAGGGGGTGACGGTGGCGCCAGTGCAGAGAAGTGAACGCGAGGACGAGGGGCGGAGAGATGGAGCCGCGGCAGTAGAAGAAGTGGCACCAACGGTTGCGGAAGTATCCTACTCCCGGAGATCCCGAGCCCCTGGTCCGGGAGAATGGTCGGCTAGAGCAGATGAACGGGTGAGGAATGGAGTCCATCAGCTTAGGTTTTCGAAATGTGTTAGGAGGTCTGCTTGTCGTGACACGGAGATGCAGAGAGAAGGGGCGGGGACGTTGGCTGGAAATTCGGCGCAGGAACGAGTAGCGGAGATGCAGACGGAGTTGGCGGAGGTATTCGAGGAAGGCAAGGAGGGTGTAGAAGATCCGCAGCAACCAAGTGAGGTAGAATTGGCAAGGAAACAGTCGGAGAAGGCGGCTTAAGTTAATCAGTGCAATCTGCGGACGCGGACCAAGAAGGACGCGGGATACTTGAAAATTCGTTTGCCAAGGGTAAAGGGAAAGGCGGTCGAAGAGGCACGCAGAGCGGGCATCGACAAGCCAGATACGTCCCAAGAGGTGCAGCAAAAGGCGGACACAAAGGTGCAGAGGATCGCGGAGGCAAATGCACAAAAGAAGGCGGAGGCCCTGCCGCCTCCTCTCAGCGGCCCCGCCGCCTCCTCTCAGCGGCCCCGCCGCCTCCTCTCAGCGGCCCTGGACGTCGCCCTCTCAGCGGCCCCGCCGCCGCGCTTTCAGCGGCCCCGCCGCCTCCTCTCAGCGGCCCCGGACGCCGCCCTCTCAGCGGCCCTCCCGCCGCCTCTTCAGCGGCCCCGCCGCCTCCACTCAGCGGCCCCGGACGCCGCCCTCTCAGCGGCCCTCCCGCCGCCTCTTCAGCGGCCCCGCCACCTCCTCTCAGCGGCCCCGGACGCCGCCCTCTCAACGGCCCTCCCGCCGCCTCTTCAGCGGCCCCGCCGCCTCCTCTCAGCGGCCCCAGACGCCGCCCTCTCAGCAGCCCTCCCGCCGCCTCCTTTGCGGCCCCGCCAGACCGCCCAGCGGCCGAGCCGCCCAACAGCAGAGCAGCCGAGCCGCCCGACCGCCAAGCCGCCCAGCCGCCGAGCCGCCCAGCAGCCGAACCGCCGAGCCGCCGAGCAGCCGAGCCGCCGAGCCGCCCAGCTGCCGAGTCGCCGAGTCGCCCTGCATCCGAGCCTCCCGAGTCGCCCTGTCCGGTAAGAGCAGCACCTCTCTCACTGCACTGCCCTCACTCTACTGTTCGCGCTGCTAGTCTACTGCTATCATGGCTACCCCTAGTATCCTCGCTTTTGACGCTAAGGGTCGGGCCATTGACTTTGACGTCTGGATAGATGACATGCAGCTTTTCTTACAGTGCGATAGGGCAAACGGTCTCTCTCTCTTTGACCTCACCTCTGGTGCCTCTCCTGCCCCTGCTGCTGATGCTGACGCCACTGTTCGCTCACAGTGGGCCACGCGCGATGCTGCTGCACGTCTTGCTGTGCGTCGCCACCTGCCTACCTCTGAGCGTGCGCACTTTAGCCAGTACAAGAATGCTCAGACCTTGTACGACGCTGTAGTTGCACGCTACTCCTCCCTTGCTACTGCTGGACTGAGCCGCCTCATTCTACCGTACCTCTTCCCTGACCTTGCTGCCTTTCCCACAGTCACTGACCTCATTACGCACCTCCGCACTAGTGACACTCGCTACCGCGCTGCGCTTCCTACTGAGTTCTACGCCAAGAACCCCCCCTCCATGTTCATCACCCTCTACTACATAGTCGCCCGTCTCCCTGACTCCCTCCGCGTAGTCAGGGACCGCTTTCTCTCTGTCTGTCCCACCACTCTCACCGTTGACCTCCTCGAGAAGGCCCTCCTAGCAGCAGAGAAGAGCATAGTTGCTGTAGGAGCCTCTCGGGGTGATCCCCGCGCCCCCGTCTTTGAGGGGTGTTCTCCCTCCCCCCTCTTGCCCTCTGTTGCCTCTGCTGCTGTGGCCGACTTCGTTGGTTTCGAGTCGGTCGGCGCTGCGTCTGCCCCTTCGGGGAAGCGCCGCACACGCAAGGGCAAGGGGGGCAAGGGCGCTGGAGGAGCTGGCGGGGGCGCTGGAGGCGGCGGTGGAGGCGGCGGAGGGGGAGGGGGTGGGAGTGGGAGTGGTGGCGGGGGTGGAGGAGCCGGTGGCAGCAGTGGAGGCGGAGGAGGCGGCAGTGGTGGTGGAGGGAGCGGAGGCGGAGGTGGTGGCGGAGGGGGCGGCGGTGGCGGAGGCGGCGGAGGTGGCGGTGGAGCTGGTCGCGGTTCTGCGCAGAGGAGTGGCTCCGGTGGTGGTCCGCGCCAGCAGCAGCAGCGCGGTCGTTACACCCTGTCCCCTCAGCAGCTCCGTGAGTGGTACGCTGCACGCCAGCGGGGTGGGGGTACTGGTCCGTGCGCCTACGTTCTGCGCACAGGCGACCATGCGGGTGAGCAGTGTGGAGGTGCGCACCCCACCCAGCGCTGCTTGGGCCGCCTGACGGACGCTTGGCGTCACCAGTTCCCTGAGGCCACAGAGATCCCTCGCTGGGGCGAGCTCTCTAGGGCGGGGGTAGCTATGTCTGACCTCGACTTTGATGCTATTCTTGGTGCTATGAATGCTGTGACTATTAGTGATGAGGGTGACTGTTACCGGTGTTTTCCGCCCGACCCGGGCATTGAGACTGCTGCTCTAGGTGCTGGTGAGGCTGCTGCTCTTGGTGCTAGCGAGGCTGCTGCTCTAGGTGCTAGTGCGTCTGCTTCCTCAGGTGCTGGTGAGTCTGCTCTCTCATGTACTGCGTCGGCTTCGGCCTCCCTCTCCTTCACCCTTGACTCTGGGGCTTCTCGCTCCTTCTTCCGAGACCGCACCACACTCACGCCGCTTGGTCGGCCAGTTGCAGTCTCTCTGGCAGACCCCTCTGGGGGTCCTGTCCTTGCTCACTTCTCCACTGTCCTCCCGTGTCCGGCGGCTCCCTCTCGCACCCTGTCTGGTCTTTACCTCCCCTCGTTCTCTACGAACTTGGTGAGTGGTGCTGACCTACAGGATGGGGGAGTGCACCAGTTCACTCCTGCGAGCCAGCGGGTGACTCACTGCACTGAGGCTCGTACGGGCCGACACTTGGCCACGTTTACACGTCAGCCGGGGTCGAGCCTGTACACACTGGCCACTGCGTCTCCACCTGTCACTGCGTCTGGTCGGGTAGCTGTGTCGGGCCAGGTGTTTGCTGCAGCGTCCAGGTCTGGTCCTGAGTCTGCCCCCTGCTCGTGTCGTCTCCTGTCTCACGAGACTCTCCTCTGGCACCACCGCCTTGGTCACCCCTCCCTGCCTCGTCTCCGAGGCATGGCGGCCCGTCTCCTTGTCTCTGGTCTTCCCCGGTCCCTCCCTCCCCTTCCCCCGGGACCTGCCCCTGCCTGTGTCCCCTTTGTCGAGGGGCGGCAGCGGTCTGCCCCTCACTCCTCCTAGTTTCCTCCGACAGAGGCCCCGCTGCAGACGCTTCACATGGACGTGTGGGGCCCAGCCCGCGTCCGTGGACAGGGTCACGAGCGCTACTTCCTGCTGGTGGTTGACGACTACTCTCGTTACACCACAGTCTTCCCCTTGCGCAGCAAGGGTGATGTCACTGAGGTGCTGGTCGACTGGATCCGCGCAGCTCGTCTCCAGCTCAGGCAGAGCTTCGGCTCGGAATTTCCTGTTCTGCGTCTGCACTCTGACAGAGGCAGAGAGTTCTCCTCTGGCCTCCTGCGAGCCTACTGTCGAGCACGAGGCATCCGCCAGACCTTCACGCTTCCGGACTGTCCGCAGCAAAATGGGATTGCTGAGCGCCGCATTGGCATGGTCATGGACGTCGCTCGTACGTCCATGATGCATGCGGCTGCCCCCCATTTTCTGTGGCCGTTTGTGGTTCGGTACGCGGCGCATCAGATCAACCTTGAGCCCAGGGTCTCCATGCCGGAGACCTCCCCAGCCTTGCTGTGGACGGGGAAGGTTGGCGATGCGTCTGCGTTCCGTGTCTGGGGATCTCGGGCGTTTGTCCGCGACTTGTCTTCGGACAAGCTGTCCCCTCGTGCTGCTCCGTGCGTCTTCCTGGGTTTCCCCCCTGATGCGCCAGGGTGGCAGTTCTACCACCCCACCTCTGGCCGTGTTGTGTCCTCCCAGGACGTCACGTTTGACAAGTCGATCCCCTACTACCGCCTCTTACCCTACCGCACTCCGTCCCTTCCCCCGCCACCGCTCTTCCTTGTGCCAGATCCCCCCCGGTAGACTCCCTTCCCCCTCAGGGTCCTGCCTCTTCAGGTGTGTCCCAGGTAGACGCAGTCGAGCCTGCTGGTGACTCTGGTGCTGCTGAGGGTGCTGGGCCTGGGGGTGCTGACTCTGGGGGTGCTGAGCCTGAGGGTACAGCTCCTGGGCGTGTTGAGCCTGGGGGTGCTGAGCCTGGGGGTGCTACGCCTGGGGGTGCTGAGCCTTGGGGTGCTACGCCTGGGGGTGCTGAGCCTGAGGGTGCGGAGCCTGGGGGTGCGGAGCCTGCGGGAGCTAGGCCTGCTCGTGTCGCGTCTGGCGGTACTGTGCCTGGAGATTCTCCGGGTGCTTCGTCTCGGCGGGAGCCACTCTCTCCACAGGAGCTGCGCGAGTGGTTTATCCGGCGCTGGAGGCGTGCTGCTGGAGCTGGAGGTTCTTCCGCTACTGAGGGTGCTGCTGTCGCGGGTCCCGGAGGTGCTCGTACTTGGAGTACTGGAGCTGCTGGGCCTGCGGGTATGACTGCAACTGGAGCTAGTTAGGGTGTTGGCGCTGAGGCTACTGCTGTCGGTCCTGCTGGGGGTGCTATTGGTGCTGCTGGAGGTCCGGGAGCTACTGGAGATGCTGGGGGTGCTGGAGCTGGAGGTGCTGCTGGCACTGGTGCTCCTGCTGGGGGTACTGGTGCTGTCCCTGCTGTGTCTGGAGTCGCCACACGGCCGCGACCGTACTTCGTTCCGCTCCTTCAACAGGTTCTTGGTCTTCCGCCTTCTACTGGTCCTCCTCCTCCCGTAGAGGGTCCACAGCCTGTCACGTCACAGTTACAGTTACAGCCGGCCTCCCCCTTGCCTGCTCTTTCTCCCTACACTGGTCCTACTGGAGGTCTTGCTGAGCGTCGTGAGCTTGCGTCTCGCCTTGCGTTGCCTGTCCGTCCTGCTCGCACTAGTGGTCGTGGTTCGCGTCCGCGTCCTCCTCCTGTCCCTGGCACGCACCGGATGTCTCTGCGTCCGTCCACTGCTCCTCTGCGTGCCCCTTTGCCTTCTCCTCTTGAGTCCTCTCTTCCTGCTCTTCCCGACCCGGAGTCGGACTCTCTTCGTGCTGCCAGTCCTACTGTCACGCGTCTCCTTGCTACAGTCGTCACTTACCCTTCCTTTGAGTCCAAAGCTGCATCTGCCCTAGTTGCTGAGCTCGTCGACTTTGCTGCTCGCTGTCGCCTAGACTACGCTGCTAGTCTTGTCGCTGAGTCTGAGTCTGTTTGTCCTCCGTCCGTCGGGGGTGAGTGTGCCCTTGGCACGGACGTCCTTGAGGACAGGCAGGAGGAGTTCCAGTGTCTGGCTGCTGCTTCACCTCATCTCGTGTCCGTACTGCTTACCCCTGAGGGAGACCCGGATGCACTTGACATCCCGACTCCGCGCTCTTACGCGGAGGCGATAGAGGGTCCCTACTCCTCTCAGTGGCAGGCAGCTATGGACACAGAGATGGCTTCTTGGAAGTCCACAGGCACCTACGTTGACGAGGTTCCCCCGCCTGGGGCGAACATCGTCAGTGGCATGTGGATTTTCAGGGTGAAGCGGCCTCCGGGTTCTCCGCCTGTCTTCAAGGCGCGTTACGTGGCTCGTGGCTTCAGTCAGCGGTAGGGAGTTGACTACTTTCAGACCTTCTCTCCCACCCCGAAGATGACCACTCTTCGGGTACTGCTGCACGTAGCTGCTCACCGTGACTACGAGCTCCACTCTCTTGACTTCAGCACAGCTTTCTTGCAGGGCAGCCTGCACGAGGAGATCTGGCTGCGTCGCCCACCTGGCTTCACTAGGTCGTTCCCTCCTGGTACCTAGTGGAGTCTCCGGCGGCCACTCTACGGTCTCCGCCAGGCGCCCCGTGAGTGGCACGACACACTGAGGACTGCGCTTGCGGCTCTTGGGTTTTCTCCCTTTACTGCCAACCCGTCGCTGTTTCTGCGCAACGACACTTCTTTGCCGCCGTTCTACGTCCTCGTGTACGTCGACGACTTGGTCTTTGCCACAGCTGACACTGCTGGACTCGCCCACGTGAAGTCCGAGCTATAGAAGAGACACACGTGCACAGACCTGGGTGAACTGCGCAGCTACCTTGGCTTGCAGATCACCCGGGACAGAGCACGCCGCACCATTACCCTGACTCAGTCACACATGGTGCAGCAGGTCCTTCAGCGCTTCGGCTTCACGTACTCCTCGCCTCAGGCCACTCCTCTGCCTACTCGCCACTCGCTCTCAGCTCTGCCTTCGGATGAGTCCATAGAGTCGAGTGGCCCGTACCCAGAGCTTGTTGGCTGCCTCATGTACCTGATGACCTGCACACGACCTGACCTTGCATACCCTCTTAGCATTCTCGCACGCTATGTTGCTCCTAGGAGACACAGACCGGAGCACATGGCTGTAGCAAAGAGGGTGTTGCGCTACTTGTGCAGTACGTCGGGCATGGGGCTAGTGCTTGGAGGGCGGAGTCCAGTGGTCCTCACTGGGCACGCAGACGCTTCTTGGGCTGACGACCAGGCTACGCAGCGGTCGTCATAGGGTTACACCTTCAGCCTTGATTCCGGCTCTGTTTCGTGGCGGGCTACTCGCTCGTTTTCTGTTCTCAGCTCTAGTTGTGAGGCTGAGATCTACGCAGGGGCCATGGCTACACAGGAGCTTTGTTGGCTCACCTACCTGCAGACTGACCTCAGAGAGCCGCCTCGTTCTCCTCCAGTTCTGTACGTAGACAACAAGGCCATGCTGGCCTTGTGTCGAGAGCAGAGACTGGAGCACAGAACAAAGCACATTGCTCTCCGCTACTTCCTTGCTCGTGAGCTACAACAGCGTGGTCAGTTGCGGCTTGCGTACGTGGCCTCTGAGACCAACACTGCTGATGTCTTCACCAAGGCACTTGCGCCTTGTGATCATCAGCGCTTCTGCACTCAACTGGGTCTTGTGTCTGTCTTGCCTCACTTGCTCACCTCTTGACCTTGCTTGTACTGTTACATATATATATACCTGCTCTTGCTTGTTTAGCCGTATATATATATATGTACTCCTGCATGTGAACTGGCCTTGTGGCCTTGAACTTGTTCTCGGAATGTGTGGTGACTTTGTGATCCACCCTGAGCTTGCTTTGCTTTGCTTTGCTTGACTGGTCTTGTGACCCCTTGTTCTCCCCCACTTTGCCTATGGGGGTGTGTCAGAACATTATAGCTTATGCATTTGTGTAGGCTGTAGTGGGGTAGCCCATAAGGGGTACAACCCAATTAGGGTTAGTACTTGTACCCAACTCTTTCATAGTTCATTTCATTTTCGTTCTAACTTTCACATGATGATGTGGAACCTCGGAGCTAAATTGGAGACGGATCCAGTCAAGGACGCGTTCATGTTTGTCTGCGCGTGCAGAACAGGTAAGACAAACAATGACTTCTCTCTCAACTACATCGCGGTGGTGCCGCACTTGGACTGGATGCTTTGCGCAGTCGGTGCTACCCTAATGTGGTTGCATTGGGTGTACGACGTGGTTCTCGTCGTGTACGAGGACATAGCCCCCCCTCTATACTTCTCCGAACCCGGCAAGTGGTACGACCAGTACATCTTCTTTCCCCTACGCGCAGGTAACGAGAAGTAGATACCGCCCACGGCTCATCACGTCTGGGAGGCCAACGATCTTGGAGGAGGCAGGAACCACATGCTCGCAGGTGGTCCATGCGACCAGGGCGGGAGGTGCGCAGCACCCGTCCGCGGATGGAATGCCCTTAGATCAGCTGGCTAGATTGGGGAGATGGCGCTTCATAGATGTGATGACTAAACACTACCTCACCACGATCCGGAAGGAGGGTGTGCTGCTGAAGGCGGGATTCACAGGGGTGGTCCGTGACTACTATCTGGGTCTCGCAAAGGTCCCGCCCAGCCCGGTGTTGGTGAAGCTACTAAGGGAGCACATCTTCCCATGGGCCGCCCCTGACAAGGGATAGAAACAAGTACGTTTGCGATCGTGATCACCATTTACATTAAACAGCCATCACGTTTCTTACCGTGAATAGTGGATGGATTACAACCGGAGGATGGTCCGTGAAAAGACGCTGGAGAAATAGGACACTGCGGGCGTCAACATACTGCGAGAGCTTGACGGCGAGGGTAGGATGGCACTCGCGATTGACTTGGCCATATATTACATCCACCAGCCGAAGCACCCGTATATGGTCGGGAACCCGCTATGCTAGAAGCATGAGTTCGCGGAGTGGGCTGCAGACGTATCCTTGGCCAATCAGCTGGCCATAGTACATCGCAACACACCTACACTGACGCGTGGCGCGGTGAGTCCAACACTGATCGCGTGATTAGATCGTATGTGCCTCATTGCCCGACCCTCGTCCACATCATCACGCTATCTATCTATGCAGGAGGTTAGTACCAGGATGCACGAGCAGAATCGGGTGACAGTCCTCACTGAGTACCTGACCCATGCGCAAGCAGACAACACCAGGCTGGGCTTACAGCTGGTCGCGACTCAGAAACGGGTCACTGAGCTTGAAAAGCAGTTGGAGGATCGCGACCAGAAGCTGGCCGCGAAGGACAAGCTTGTGAATAATTTGGAGGCATAGCTTTTGCGTCTCAGCGTGAACAGCTCACGGCCGACCGCGGATCCGTGTTCGGCAATCAATACTAGAACCGCGGCCGACCCCACCAATGCCACAACACCACCGACCTGGGAACGCAAAAGAAACCCACACCGCCGACCAGGGATGAGACGATTCGGGACGAGATCGTGCTCCCATGGGTCCAAGTGACCAAACCGTCGGACGGATGGAAGCTGTACAAGGCCACGCATCCGCTTATCCTAGAGAGTCCAGAATCGCTACTGGTGAACCACGGTGCAGGTACGCGATTGACCGAGCTCATCGGAAAGGAAGAAGGCGGCCAGAACGCGATAAATCGTGTCAAGCGAGTCATGGACTTCATCGCCCACAGGGTAGCGCAAGGAGACGACATCGCGGTTGTGCTCCACAAGCTCGACCGTGTGGCAGGAGCTGTAGGCATGTCGGGACTGTCGGAAGGGACCGCGGTGAAGAAGAAGAGTGTGGAGCTAAACCTGAGCCAGCTCAAGAAGGAGTCCTCGGCGGAGGTGCATTTGCGTGTGAAATGGATGCTTGTTCCGGACCATCTCATAGAAGCCTCTCTTCCCGCATCTGAGTTCACAGTCGCGTGGCCATAGTACTGTGCACTAATGTCTGCCTTGCAATAACTAGATTGGGCCATTTGTTGTTCGCGTTGAGAGTACCACGTATGGGTGCCATGTTATGAGTACATTGTATCGACCGCGATAGTTGTTTTGCACAACCCTATACTTGGTGCTTCTGAAATGATGTTGTTTTGTTCTCGTTTGTTCAAACACGAGTGACTCCCGATCGCGATCGGGGGTATTCTTCACTGCATAAGTATCTCGATCGCAATGTACTTGGGGTTCTGTTGTCTATCGCGGTAGTGCATGGTGATGAGCAGGCCCGTATGTAACTCCATGGCAGCAAACAAGTCCGCGGCCCACGATCGGAGCTGCTTGGGGGTCAGGTTAAGGCTGGGGTCCACCTTCAGGTCGTACGGCATCATTGCGACCGCGGTCTTATATTGCAGGTCCTTGCGCTCTCCCTGTCCTAGCCAACGCTTCTTCCCCCCCAAGTGCAGTTCAGAAATCAAGCCTGGTCCACCCCTGGGTGGAGGGCGGATACCACAGCCCCTGCGCTCAGGGCCAGTGTCACCCTGTCCACCCGTTTCGCCAACTGTCACCACCAGGGTGTCGCCATCTTCCTCGTCCGCACTTTCCCCGTCGCTATCAACCTCGACCGCGGCCTGTCCGCCCTCGCCACCCTGTTCACCTCCGTCTCCGGTCGGCCCGACCCACAAATTGCAGAGATTCTCCAGCTCCTCCTCACCGTCCTCGTCGATGGTGTACACTGGAGGAGGAGGCGGCATCTTGGCACCGCGGCCGCGTTTCTTGCTCTTGTGCTCGACCACGACCGCGCTTGGTCCTGCAGAGGCGCTGGCGCTATGTTCATGCTGTCCCGTCTGTGCGGGTGCGATCGCAGGACGCTTGGCATCCTACGACGCCGCGGCCGTCGCAGGCAAAACCTCAAGCTTCACAACCCTCTTTCCAGTTGTAGCCAGCTCCTCCACCTCTGCCTTCCCTTTGCCCTTGCCTACTGTCGCCGTCGGCATCGCGTTTGCCTGCGCATGGACTGGGGGTTTCGGCGCTGATTCTCCGGCGGGGACAGAGCGCGAGCTCGAACCCGGTGGAACAGATTGTCAAGCACCCCGCGATGCAGTCCCCCACTTCTGGTGGCGTACCACGGGCGCTGCCTGTGGACCTCTCTGCCTCATCGGCCCCCGCTGGTTCTCCGCCTTGGCACCCGCGGCCCGCTTCCCATGCTCCGTGTCTCCGGGTTCTGCACCCTCCGGCGCGTGTTGTTCTTCCGCGTCCATGCGCGGCGGCGGGCTCCCGGCAACAAGGTAAACGATTGTGTGCAGTGCATTGGTGACCCCGCTAGTGGTGATGGCACGCTCTGTTGTGGCCGAGACCGCGGACGACATGTTGTCTATCTTCCGCGAGACCTCGTCTGTCAGCTTCTTCTGAGCACCTTCCATGGAGTCGACCATCACCCCCTGCAACTGTCCCAGCCTCGCATCAATGCAACTGAGAACCAATGCCTCCTGGTTCCGCTGATCCTGAAGTGCAACCCTCTCTAACGCGAGAGCCTTCGACTCCTCCTCCAAGACCAGAGCCGCGTTCTCCATCTGACGCTGCGCTCTCTGGACGGCAGCGGCGAGGTCCTCGTAACTGACGATCGCAACACCACTTTCTCGAGACACAGGGCGCTTCTTCGGCCGAGCAATCTGTTCCGCATGTGATGCCAGCTTGTGGTCGAGCCGCATAATCTCCCCGGCCAGCTTTGCGGCAAGCAACGCTGAGAAAACTGAAACGAGAATGAATGAACTATGGAAGAAGTGGGTACAAGTACTAACCCTAATTGGGTTGTACCCCCTATGGGATACCCCACTACAGCCTACACAACAGCATAAGCTATAAAGTTCTGACACACCCCCATAGGCAAAGTGGGGGAGAACAGGGGGTCACAAGACCAGTCAAGCAAAGCAAAGCAAAGCAAGCTCAGGGTGGATCACAAAGTCACCACACATTCCGAGCACAAGTTCAAGGCCACAAGGCCAGTTCACATGCAGGATTACATATATATATAAGGCTAGACAAGCAAGAGCAGGTATATATATATATAACAGTACAAGAAAGGTCAAGAGGTGAGCAAGTGAGGCAAGACAGGGACAAGACCCAGCTGAGTGCAGAAGCGCTGATGATCACAAGGCGCAAGTGCCTTGGTGAAGACATCAGCAGAGTTGGCCTCAAAGGCCACGTACGCAAGTCGCAACTGTCCACGCTGCTGTAGCTCACGAGCAAGGAAGTAGCGGAGAGCAATGTGCTTTGTTCTGTGCTCCAGTCGCTGCTCTCGACACAAGGCCAGCATGGCCTTGTTGTCTACGTACAGAACTGGAGGAGAACGAGGCGGCTCTCCGAGGTCAGTCAGCAGGTAGGTGAGCCAGCAAAGCTCCTGTGCAGCCATGGCCCCAGCGTAGATCTCAGCCTCACAACTAGAGCCGAGAACAGAAGACGAGCGAGTAGCCCGCCACGAAACAGAGCCGGAACCAAGGCTGAAGGTGTAACCCTGTGACGACCGCTGCGTAGCCTGGTCGTCAGCCCAAGAAGCGTCTGCGTGCCCAGTGAGGACCACTGGACTGCGCCCTCCAAGCACTAGCCCCATGCCCGACGTACTGCACAAGTAGCGCAACACCCTCTTCGCTGCAGCCATGTGCTCTGGTCGGTGTCTCCCAGGAGCAACATAGCGTGCAAGAATGCTAAGAGGGTATGCAAGGTCAGGTCGTGTGCAGGTCATCAGGTACATGAGGCAACCAAAAAGCTCTGGATACGGGCCACTCAACTCTACAGACTCATCCGAAGGCAGAGCTGAGAGCGAGTGGCGAGTAGGCAGAGGAGTGGCCTGAGGCGAGGAGTACGTGAAGCCGAAGCGCTGAAGGACCTGCTGCACCATATGTGACTGAGTCAGGGTAATGGTGCAGCGTGCTCTGTCCCGGGTGATCTGCAAGCCAAGGTAGCTGCGCAGTTCACCCAGATCTGTGCACGTGTGTCTCTTCTGCAGCTCAGACTTCACGTAGGCGAGTCTAGCAGTGTCAGCTGTGGCAAAGACCAAGTCGTCGACGTACACGAGGATGTAGAACGGCGGCAGAGAGGTGTCGGTGCATAGAAACAGCGACGGGTCGGCAGTAGAAGGAGCAAACCCAAGAGCCGCAAGCGTAGTCCTCAGTGTGTCGTGCCACTCACGTGGCGCCTGGCGGAGACCGTAGACTGGACGCCGGAGACTCCACTGGGTCCCAGGAGGGAACGACCTAGTGAAGCCAGGTGGGCGGCGCAGCCAGATCTCCTCTTGCAGACTGCCCTGCAAGAAAGCTGTGCTGAAGTCAAGAGAGTGCAGCTCGTAGTCACGGTGAGCAGCAACGTGCAGCAGTACCCGAAGAGTGGTCATCTTCGAGGTGGGAGAGAAGGTCTGAAAGAAGTCAACTCCCTGCCGCTGACTGAAGCCACGAGCCACGTACCGTGCCTTGAAGACAGGCGGAGAACCCGGCGGCCGCTTCACCCTGAAGATCCACATGCCACTGACGATGTTCGCCCCAGGCGGGGGAACCTCGTCAACGTAGGTGCCTGTGGACTTCCAAGAAGCCATCTCTGTGTCCATAGCTGCCTGCCACTGAGATGAGTAGGGACCCTCTATCGCCTCCGCGTAAGAGCGCGGAGTCGGGATGTCAAGTGCATCCGGGTCTCCCTCAGGGGTAAGCAGTACGGACACGAGATGAGGTGAAGCAGCTGCCAGACACTGGAACTCCTCCTGCCTGTCCTCAAGGACGTCCGTGCCAAGGGCACACTCACCCCCGACGGACGGAGGACAGACAGACTCAGACTCAGCGACAAGACTAGCAGCGTAGTCTAGGCGACAGCGAGCAGCAAAGTCGACGAGCTCAGCAACTAGGGCAGACGCAGAAATTGACTCGAAAGAGGGGTCAGTGATGACAGTAATAAGGAGACGCGTGACAGTAGGACTGGCAGCACGAAAAGAGTCCGACTGCGGGTCGGGAAGAGCAGGAAGAGAGGACTCAGGAGGAGAAGGCAAAGGGGCACGCAGAGGAGCAGTGGATGGACGCAGAGACATCCTGTGCGTGCCAGGGACAGGAGGAGGACGCTGACGCGAACCACGACCACTAGTGCGAGCAGCATGGACAGGCGACGCAGGGCGAGACACAGGCTCACGACGCTCAGCAAGACCTCCAGTAGGACCAGTGTAGGGAGAAGGAGCAGGCAGTGGGGAGGCCGGCTGTAACTGTAACTGCGACGGGACAGGCTGTGGACACTCTAAGGGAGGAGGAGGACCAGTAGAAGGCGAAAGACCAAGAACCTCCTGCAGGAGTGGAACGAAGTACGGTCGAGGCCGCGCGGCGACGCCTGACACAGCAGGGACAGCACCAGTACCCCCAGCAGGAGCACCCGCTCCAGCAGCACCTCCAGCAGCTCCAGAACCTCCAGCAACACCAGGAGTACCCCCCGGCAGGACCGCCAGCAGTAGTCTCAACGCCAACACCCTCAGAAGCACCAGCTCCAGTCGAACCCGCAGGCCCAGCAGCTCCAGTACTAACAGTACGAGCACCTCCAGGATCCGCGACAGCAGCACCCTCAGTAGCCGAAGAACCTCCAGCTCCAGCAGCACGGCTCCAGCGCCGGGAAAACCACTCGCGCAGCTCTTGTGGAGAGAGTGGCTCCCGAAGAGACGAAGCACCCGGAGAACCTCCAGGCGTAGCACCTCCAAGCTCAGCACCCCCAGGTGTAGCACTCCCAGGCAAAGCACCCCCTGACGCGCCAGGGTGGCAGTTCTACCACCCCACCTCTCGCCGTGTTCTCTCCTCCCAGGACGTCACGTTCGACGAGTCGGTCCCCTACTACCGTCTCTTCCCCTACCGCACTCCGTCCCTCACCCCGCCACCAGTCTTCCTTGTGCCAGGTCCCCCCCCAGTAGAACTGCCACCCTGCTACGCCTGGGGGTGCTTTGCCTGGGAGTGCTACACCTGGGGGTGCTGAGCCTGGGGGTGCTGAGCTTGGAGGTGCTACGCCTGGAGGTTCTCCGGGTGCTTCGTCTCTGCGGGAGCCACTCTCTCCACAGGAGCTGCGACAGTGGTTTGCCCGGCGCTAGAGCCGTGCTGCTAGAGCTGGAGGTTCTTCGGCTACTGAGGGTGCTGCTGTCGCGGGTCCCGAAGGTGCTCGTACTGTTAGTACTGGAGCTGCTAGGCCTGCGGGTTCGACTGGAGCTGGTGTTGCTGAGGGTGTTGGCATTGAGACTACTGCTGGCGGTCGTGCTGGGGGTACTCCTGGTGTTGCTGGAGGTTCTGGAGCTACTGGAGGTGCTGCTGGAGCGGGTGCTCCTGCTGGGGGTACTGGTGTTGTCCTTGCTGTGTCTGGCGTCGGCGCGCGGCCTCGACCGTACTTCGTTCCACTCCTGCAGCAGGTTCTTGGTCTTTCGCCTTCTACTGGTCCTCCTCCTCCCTTAGAGTGTCCACAGCCTGTCCCGTCGCAGTTACAGTTACAGCCGGCCTCCCCACTGCCTGCTCCTTCTCCCTACACTGGTCCTACTGGAGGTCTTGCTGAGCGTCGTGAGCCTGCGTCTCGCCCTGCGTCGCCTGTCCGTGCTGCTCGCACCAGTGGTCGTGGTTCGCGTCAGCGTCCTCCTCCTGTCCCTGGCACGCACAGGATGTCTCTGCATCCGTCCACTGCTCCTCTGCGTGCCCCCTTGCCTTCTCCTCCTAAGTCCTCTCTTCCTGCTCTTGCCGACCCGCAGTCGGACTCACTTCGTGCTGCCAGTCCTACTGTCACGCGTCTCCTTGCTACTGTCATCACTGACCCTTCTTTCGAGTCCACTGCTGCGTCTGCCCTAGTTGCTGAGCTCATCAACTTTGCTGCTCGCTGTCGCCTAGACTACGCTGCTAGTCTTGTCGCTGAGTCTGCGTCTGTCTGTCCTCCGTTCGTCGAGGGTGAGTGTGCCCTTGGCACGGACGTCCTTGAGGACAAGCAGGAGGAGTTCTAGTGTCTGGCAGCTGCTTCACCTCATCTCGTGTCCGTACTGCTTACCCCTGAGGGAGACCCGGATGCACTTGACATCCCGACTCCGCGCTCTTACGCGGAGGCGATAGAGGGTCCCTACTCCTCTCAGTGGCAGGCAGCTATGGACACAGAGATGGCTTCCTGGAAGTCCACAGGCACCTACGTTGACGAGGTTCCCCCGCCTGGGGCGAACATCGTCAGTGGCATGTGGATCTTCAGGGTGAAGCGGCCGCCGGGTTCTCCGCTTGTCTTCAAGGCACGGTACGTGGCTCGTGGCTTCAGTCAGCGGCAGGGAGTTGACTACTTTCAGACCTTCTCTCCCACCCCGAAGATGACCACTCTTCGGGTACTGCTGCACGTTGCTGCTCACCGTGACTACGAGCTGCACTCTCTCGACTTCAGCACAGCTTTCTTGCAGGGCAGCCTGCACGAGGAGATCTGGCTGCGCCGCCCACCTGGCTTCACTGGGTCGTTCCCTCCTGGTACCCAGTGGAGTCTCCGGCGTCCAGTCTACGGTCTCCGCCAGGCGCCACGTGACTGGCACGACACACTGAGGACTACGCTT